CATTAAGCATCTCAGAAATATACTCAGTGGAGGAAACAGTTTTGACATGTAGAAAATGAAAGTGTTGTGTAAAGAAATGTTTGCTTACTTGCCTCTTGGTGTCATAGTTGACCCACATATTTATCCTGTAAAAACCCCGCTGGCATTGCTTATAGAATCACTGTATGGAAAGACATTGCTGGTCCATTATACAGTCAATTATTTAAGTGTATGAGGATATATTGTGAAGCTTTAAAAATCTGAAAGTAACAGAATATTAGTGCTGGAAAAGCCATTGTTATCTGTTCCTACCTCCTTATTTTATCAGTTAAGAAACTGAAGACTAGATGCATTTAGTGACTTTCCTAAGGTTGTATACCATGTGAGTGCAAGAGTTGTAATCAGAATCTACATTGTCTGACTGCAAGTCCTATGCTATTTTCTCAGTATGACACTGCAGAAAGATGGAGAAGAAAGAAGGATATACATGGACACACACACACATAATGTATAGTTTATCTTAACTAGATTTGTGTTTGATCTTGAAGGTTCTCTCTTTGAATAGGTCCTTTCAGCATAGTTACGTTTTCCATTAGTCTTGGAGGCTTATAAAAATTATTTTTAACAAATAAATTATTCAAGTGTTTATACATCCTCTCTTTGCCATTTGAACATTGATCTTACAATTCTGAGCCAACTGATCATGCCCTTGACTTTAAAGTCATACTACAGTTAATACAGTAACTCTTCTTCCATCTAATCACCTCATGCTCCAATATTTTCTCCTATCTCATCTTCCCATTCCTTGATGGGGATTACCCAGTTTTGGAGAGCTGATTATTTGTGCTTTCTAATATGATAATTAGTTAATTTTATTAGCTAACATGCTAATAGGAGAACTCATCAATCCCACAGCTCTCCAAGATAATATTTATATTTTAACAGTAGTCTTCCAAATACAATGCCCAACATCTATTTCTTCAAACAAATGGCATTAGAAACATGATTTGAGGCTAATATAAGAGATGAGAATAGTAGGATGATAGGCCAATAAGAGAGCTATGTTTGCTAGGAGAGGCCATACTACAGTGCCTTTCAAATTATATCATACAGAAACTTGCCAGTATCCATTCTCTTGACTGCTGTGGTCATTAATTTTTTATTTAAATAAATATTAATAAAATAGCCATCCATGCTTACATATGGCATGAATCTAATGATGCATATTTATCTGATTTCCATATCAGCACAGGGAGACAACACATTAACATATTTATGTATAGACCTGAAATTTTTCTCTACTTTCTACTTATTCAGATGATGGAAAAAAATGTTGGGGTTGAGGGTTGGGAAAGCATGAAGAACTAACAATAGTGGAAATAATGTACTGATTTATAATACTATGACGATGGCAGATCATTACCCTTGGTCTATCCATCGACACTCAGCAATCACCAGTGGGGCCCATTGGACTCAAGGCTGATTACTATAGGTACGGGTTAGATCTGGGTGTTGAGGTAAAGAACAAATGGAAGTGGAAATAACGCATTAATTTGTAATATTGTAGGGACAGTAGAAGATCATCATGCTCTCCTTATCCACCTCCCCTCAGCAATCATCACTGGTGCTCACTTGACCAGGGCTGAGTACTGCATGTCTCTGAGAGCATTTTTGTTTATTTAGCATTATTTAGCTAATATTAATATAATACTATTATATATAATAAATAAAATTATTGTTATTATTTGTCATTATTGTTATCATCATATGGGGACTAGGAACTATCATAGATTGTGAGATGTTTGAGAACAGAGATTGTTTCATTCTTTACATACCTAGTGCTTTGTTCAGTGCCTACACATAGTTTCTCAAAGTGGGTGATCCTGCCCCCTGGGGCGGGTGGAGCAGTCCAGGGGGATGGTAGTAGCAGCGGGTGCCATTGGGGGACCTTGAATAAAAATAAGGGTTAACTTGACCTAATGGTGGGAGGGCACTGAGTAATTTTACTTTTTAAACAGGAGACAGTAGGCCAAATAAGTTTGGGAACGTCTGTACATAGAGCTTACTAAATGGTTATTGATTCATTGATAGTAACCATTCTACATTTCTTCCTTAGTAAATATGAATTTAAAAGTTCAAAATTCTGTAATTCCTTTTCTTGGGAACTCTAGGTGTTTCTGCATATTTAGATTTTCATGAAGAGAAGCAAAAGATGGCATCCAAATTATGTAAATAGTTGGAGGAGGAAGAGGAGTAATGGCAAGTAGCCGCAGCCGCAGTAGTGGTAGTAGCAGCAGTAGTACTAGCAGCAGTAGCGCCATCAGTAATAGCCAGCATTTATTTAATGCTCTAAATGTTAGAAAGCGCTTTCCCCCACTTCACCTATGAGAAAAGGAGTAGAATTGTTATCATCTCCAATTACATATAAGGAAACTGGGACACAAAGAAATTAAATGACTTGCTCGTTGACACACAGTTAGGATTTAATAACAATCTTTTTGACTCTAAGTCTAGTACACTCTCCGTAATCTTTTGGCTTTTAGTTTTACTTAAAAAAAATTCTGTGTATTGCAAAGATGATGTTATTGGGATGTCCAGGCATCTGGGAATTATTTATTAATGATAATTATCTTTGATATGTTTTTGTGCATCTGAGTTAGAGAATTAGGAAGTTTGATGAAAGGAAGCAGTGAGTCTTAAAAAGCCCAAAACTAATGTTCTAATTATATTCCGAACCAAGGCAACCACTCAGCTGTAAGATGGCAGCAATTCTACCATCTTCCAAGAATTGCTTTTAGGAATGAGTTCACTAAGGGCAAAGAATATTGAAAATATTGGACTAGATGATTTCTAAGGTTATTTCTCCTTTACTGTTCAGTTTCTGTGGTTGTAGTCATACCATTCATGGGACTATGGGGAAGGTTTTGTTAGAGAAAGCAATGATAGAGCTCATACTCATAAAATAAGTTAGATGGTAGAAAGGAAGATAGAGTTTATATAGCCTAGCATATGAACTACTTTTAAAACATCCCTGGCAGGTTGTCATCTAACCTCTGCTTGAACACCTCATGTAATGGAGAACTCACTGCTTTATAAGGAAACCTCTTGTATTTTGGACAGCTCTGATTCTTAGGAAGAATTGAGGGAATCATGGGAATTGAATGAACCACACTGAATCCATCTTGTTACTCAATTCTGTACAGTTCCCTTTCTATTCAATTATAGGTCTAATACAGTTTCTGTCTTATGAGAAAATTTTATTCAGTTATGGGAATTGTGAGAAAACTTTACACATTGTTTGAACCTAGCCCTGTATGGTTGGGAAGTTGGACCACTTCTACTGTTGCGAGAAACCCTTAACTAAGGATCTAAGTTATTCTGACCAGAAACTCAGTCAAATCTAAAGACTGATACAAGGAGTTTTCTCACAATTATACAAGCAATCCATGTGTCTTACCCAAAAACTGGTCCTGTATTGGTCAGTCAGTTACTCTTTCCTTGTGTTTTTGATTGAATACAGATACTTCATAGGGAGTGGGACACCTTTTTTTCTGATTTCAGGGAGTTGCACCTGTTTGCTCTTTCCCTCCCAACTCAGAGAACCCCTAATCTTTCCTCCAATTAGAAATCAGATGGCCTAATTTTGTATACTGGTTTATATCCTGTTAACTGTTTACTTTTAATGCATAAAAATCTGTCTCCTCCAGTGCCAAGCTGAGGTGGCCTGTTCCCAATTTGTTATGTAATTGGCATGCATTGCTTGCTAAATTGATAATTGTTAATTATTATATTTTTGTTAATGTTTTGTTATTTGTAATTTTTGTTAATATTTTGTTCATATAGGTATCATATTTTTAAGGTATTACTCTATTTCTTTTGCATTCTCAGTTTTGTTAATATGTAATTATTCATAATGTTTCTGATTTGTGATTGCACCATTGTGCTATTTATTGTTTTGATTTTCTTCCATCTTTTTTTTTAGTACTGTATATGTATTTACAAAGCATCTTACATACATCCTTATTTTAGCCGCACAGCAGCCCTGTGAGATAGGAACGAGATTATTATCCCCATTTGACAATTGGAAATTCAGGCTTAAATGGTTTTATTCGTGGTGTCCCATAGTATCAGAAGTGGGGAAAGCTTCCTTACCAAGACTGGCCAAATCTATACAAGTTAAATTTTTCCTAAAATAAACAGCATTACTTTGAAGTATGAAAATATACTTGAGCACCACAACTCTATAGATTATGCCTTCTGTAGCATCCTCATCTCCCATTACAGAATTTACCTCTCCTCCCACAGGAGTGTTCTACAGTGGGACTGCCTTGCTTCCTTACTCATTCTTCTATAGCCCCTCTTTTTGCTAAAAGACCATACGAGTTATTTTTCCTTCATCATTTACCATTGATTAATGAGTTCACATCATGTATTTTCCTATATCTTCTGTCTTCCCTCTCCCTTTTTGTGCACCCAACTATTCTGTAGCTTAGTCCCACACAATACATTTCTTGATCCATGGAGGGATTTTGAGATTTAGTCCGTGGTGTTTCAGGACAGTTCCTCCACTACTCTCTTCCCTCTCGATTAGAGGGTAGAGCCATGAACTCTTCAACCTCCTTCTAACAAGGAGGCACAGGATAGACATCTCATTTTCCACCCAACCACACTCATTTTGGACTCCTTTGACTTCTTCATCATGCCCTCAAGCTATGTACTTTCTCCTCTCCCATTTTTAGCTTTCTTTTGTGTATTATCTTCCCCCATTAGATTATAAGCTTTTTGAGAGTGGAGATTACACTTCTTTTTTACAAATTATATCCCCAGAGTTTAGCACAGTGCCTGGCATATAGGAAGTGCCTAGTAAATGTTCATTGCCTGTCCCTTCTGCTATTTCACTTTCATCTTTCTCATCTTTTACGAATATTTAGAAATTTTTTAATGGTCCCTCTGTTGTTATTTATTTATTGTTGTTTAGTCCCATAAGTGCCTTTCTGATTCTATTATTTTTTTTCTTTCAGTTGTCTCTGGATGAGGTAATTTCAAGATTTTTTTCATTGCTGATTGTGCCCAGGCTTCCAGATTGTGTCATTTTGGATTTCATCTTGAGGTCTTTTGCTTTTTCATAATGTTATTCCATTCCGTTCTGCAGCTTCTGATGGATGTAAAACGGTATTTGAATTTCCTTTCCTATGTATTTGAGATTTTTTTTAGATCTTTTAAACATCAATTTTTTTATAGAGGTAATGTACTCTTACAACTTTTTTTGGTTTTGGGTGTTTTTTTTTTAATAGATTGTCCTTTAATTAAGTATATTAGTATTCCAAAAAGTTCTTCTCTCCTTTGCTTCTTTGGGGAGACTCTCACCACTGTGCTAATTATTTCTGCTGTCAATCCATAAACTCTGCCATTTGTTTCTTTTAAATCTTCTTTTAATATTTTTATTTCTACCCTGAACCATGTGGGAACATCTACTGCAATTCTGTGCTGTCTTGGGTATCTAGAGTAGTCTAGGTTTCCTCCAGTGTTAGTTTAATTTCCTTTCTCTTTTCAGTATTTTTAGAGGCAGTTTTTGTCATTTAGATGTCAGGTAGCCATCTTCCTTTCTGGTTTAATATTTTCCCTGCTGTTTTATCTGGTTTTGCTCTAGATTTTAAACTGAATTTTCTCTTCCTAAGATCTTCGAAAGTTTTGGTCTTTTTTTTTTCTTATAATCCTTTGTTGCTCATTTTCTGGCTCCTTTCTCATTGACCATGGCTCCCACAACAGCTGTACCTCAAAGTAGTCTCAGTTTCCTCTCCACACTGGGGAATTCATTCTTCAAAATCATCAGTCCCTGCTCGGAATGTTATCTAGGAATACAAGACTGATCTCAGCTAGGTTCCTATCCCCTTTCCTTCAGGCCTAGAACATCCCCACATACATGCTGTTGCCCTACTCTGTGCCTTCAGTTCTTTAGTTGTCTGGCTGCTGCCCCAGAGTACACTCATAGGGTATGCTCTCACCTTCTATGATTCCCCTTCCTTCACAAGTATTGGGTAAAGTTGAAGTCTGCTTCCTGTAGCAACAGAATGGGTGTGATGTGAGGAGGGGCAAGGTATACTGATAAGAAGCTATAGTGACATCAGGGAAATTGTCGAGTGGATCCCAGAGAACAAGGTGGTGGGTCAGGTTGTATACCCTTCCAAAGAATATGGAAGCTGGTGAAGGAGAAGGTTGGTGCTGAGTTAAGAAATTAGGGATTAGAGATCTCTGCTGTTATTTCATAAGATTGTTACCTTTTTAGGCTTCTTGGTGTCTTGCTCTGAAGATATACGTATAATTACTGTAGCTATAGTACATGATTCCTCTTTTGGAGAGTTTTTAATAGTTAATTAGGACTAGAGTTAATAGTCCTCCATCTTGTTAGTCATGTGACTAACCATGCAACTGTGTTTTTACAACTTTTAAAAATTCTTGAATTGTATCTCACCTGCACTAAAAATAAGTTACTTAATTTGGCATGATACTGTAGCTATATGTAAAATGGGGCTGAATTTTTTCTGTTTCAGCATATATTCATTTCTTGCTGATGGAAAAGTTAATATATAAATCTGGTTTTCAAAATCTTTCATCAGTACAAGTAGCCCTTGCTATGTGAGGAAATGCTTTATGTTGAATCATTTTGCCAAATATAAAATGTTAAATTAACTCTTTTTTTCAGTATTAATGTTTCTTCTTTGTTGATCAGCAAAAGCATGTACTACATTAAGTGTAGCTATCACAAGTATTTGCCTCCCAAGAGAGTCTGGGTTGAATGTGTAACTTGAATTTTTCATCACATTGAATTTTATAGCTAAGTGTTTATTGTCCAGGGAATATAAGACTTAAATATATGTGTAATAGTAATTATGCTTCCACTTTTCCCGTTTATTCAGTGATTTTACGTTCTTTATAGCTGACTTCCAGTTATCCAGGTGAGTGTATTCTAAACTCTTTGAGGATGTGTAATCTTTAAACATTTTTGTTCACACAACTTCACCCAAATCCCTGGTGTGGGTTTGGGTCAAAGCCCGAGGCAGTGTTTTGCAACAGTTTGTTCTTAAGACCTAAGAAACAGGTCGACAAGGAAGCAATCATATACTACAAAATATCAGTGATGTATATGATTTTAATGATTGAACTTCTCTGGATCTCAGTTTCCTAATCTGTATATGGAGAAGATTCCATTAGATGAATTCTAATATTACTTATAGCTGTAGCATAATATGCCATGTTATTTGTTTTTGAGTTCATGGAAATTTATACCACAGCAATTTGTAAACATTTTGTCAAATTACTTGTCTTATTGTTAATATTCAGCCAAACTTTCAAATTTATCAGTTCTCAGTCCTAGCTGCTCTATGAGCTCATTCAAATTTATCAGTTCTCAGTCCTAGCTGCTCTATGAGCTCAATCACTGAAATGCAGGCAGCAATTTAAAGTCTGAAGATCCTGAACTAAATTTAGTTGTCAAAGATAGCTCAGAAATTAATGCCATTCTTTGTCCACACTCTGACACACAGATATTCACCTCTTTCTTTAAAGAAATAGGCATTCAAGAATATCTTTCTCATTGGTTGTACTGAAGCATAGTGTTATAGGGAGATGTGAACCCATTTTGTTTGGGGGAACTGAAAAATTAAAGAGTATAAGGCAATTACTGAAATCTGTACAATTTGATGTGTTCTAAAATAGAGTTATCAATCTCCTGCTGGCCATAAGCTATCTACAAAACGCCCAAGTGAGGCCACAACCAGATTAAAATGTAATTAGGATATATTTAACAGAACAATAAACATGTATTTCTTCTTTCTTCCTCTGATGTGTTTATAATATCACCCTTTCACACTCCTTATTTAGAGTTTCTTTTGCTTAAAACTAATCCCTCCCTTAATCTGCTCTCCCTCTTATTGCTTCTCCTCTTCTCTTCCTTCCATCCATTTACCTTTTGAATGAGATATGGTTTTTTTGCACTCAACTCTTTATGTGTGTATTCTTCCCTCCTTTTGACAAGTTCAGATGAGAATGAGGTTCAAGCATTCCCCACTTTCCCTACCCTTCCTTATTGTATACTTCTATTAGTGCATCTCAATTGTGTGTGATAATTTTCCTCTCCTGCTCCCTATCTCCAGGGTATTTCTATTCACTTCACTTTCTATTCTTCTCTGAAGGTCATCAAAATATATATTTGTTGTTCAGTCATTTCAACACGTCTGACTTCTTGTGACCCATTTGGGGTTTTCTTGGTAAAGATACTGTAGTGGTTTGCCATTCCTTCTCCAGCTCATTTACAGATGAGGAAACTGAGGCAAACAGGGTTAAGTAATTTGGCCAGGTCACACAGCTAGTAAATGTCTAAGGCTGGATTTAAACTCAAATCTTGCTCACTTCAGGCCTGGCCCTCTATCCACTTGTGCCAGCTAGCTTAACCTCTCTCTCTTTCTCTCCCCCTTCCTTGATATATAGCTCAAAAATTAAATAAAAACATTTAAACTCCTTTTTTTTTAACTCTTGCTACACATTTTATTTTTAGGAATTCTATTTCAATTTGTCCTTAAGCTGTGTTTTTCTTTGATGCTTTGCTTATAGGTATTTTGGAGTAACTCTCTTTTTTTAGGTTTTCATTTTAGACATCCTTGCGCTTTCTATGATAGTACTCTTTTTTTCTTTCTTTGCACATTTTCCCATGCTACTTCCAAATTTTAGACTTGGCTTTAGGGCCAGGCTGTCTGTATACTTCTGAAGGGAATGTCAGGGTTGGTCCTGCTGCTGCATTTGTGGGTTATTCAGTGTTATGTTATTCTAGGATTTCAGAGACAGTTTTGACTGGGGACCTCGAAACTATAAGTGCTCCCAAAGTAGTCTGACCCAGAGCAAATTCTGATAGCTACCTTCTTAATCTGAGCTCCACAAGTTCCTTATCTGGATTTGCACTTTGCCATACCCATTAGCTTGTCCCTGGTTTTAGTTCCAGTAGACTTCCTGGACTTGGCCATTATCAGACACCTGGAAAGTTCTGCAGTGGCAGAACTGCATGCCCCATTTTGGTCTGGTTATTTTACTATAGGCATCAAGCTAGAAGCTGGAACTGAGACTCTACCCTGCTCCTAGAGTCAGAACTACATAGTTACTTTTTCTTGTACTGAAGGTGTTCCTTAAGAGCTTTTAAGGTCTTTCCCCCCCCCCCAGTATTCTTTGTGTACCAGATAAATGCACTTGGGCTGCCCATCAGTTTTCTGTCTTTGTATAATAACCATCCCACCTACTTTTCCTATCATACATATCCTTGATGAAAGTCTGTGCATCAAGGAGCAAGTTCAGAGTTCATTCTTGGGTACTTGGTCTTGTTATCCTGGGATAAAACTCAACTCATCTAGTACAGAGGTTCTTTTTTTTTTTTAATGATTTTTGAAAAATTTCCCCCAATTACATTTGAAAACAATCCTTAACATTCATTTAAAAACTTTTTGAGTTCCAAATTCTCTCCCTTATTGAGAAGGCAAGCAATTTGATATAGGTTATACATGTGCCGTAGGACAACCTTTTTTGTGTCATGGATGTACCTGGCAAGGAGTTGATGATTCAGAACTGGAACTCAAGTGAAAGATTAGGAATGGATTTATACACCTGGGAATCAACTGCATAGAGATGATAAATTAGCCTATGGGAAATAATGAGGTCAATAAGGAAAAAATAGGAAAAAAAAAAAGATGGCCGAGGATAGAGCCTTCTTAGTTAGGGGATAAGTCTTGGATGATGATCCAGCAAAGGGGCCAGAAAAAGTTGTCAGGAAGATAGGAAGAGAACTTGGTCACCATAGAATTTAGGGAGAGCCACTCCTGAGGTAAACCTTAGAAACCAGGTCTGGCTGTGTACTAAGAACCTTCCTTTATCTAACTCTTCTCAAGGAACTAACAAGTCATGTTTGGGGGGAAAGGGAAGAGAATAAACATTACGTTCCAGGCTCTGTACTAAGCACTTTACGAATATTATCTCATTTGATTTGGGGGATATTTTCCCGTTACTCACAAAGCCAGCTCCCTCTTTTTATTACCTTAAGAACTCACTCTGTCTTTCATTTGAACTTTGTTAGGTAAAACCTCAAAGACTCCTAAGCTTCATCCCTCCAGCCTTTAAGGCCTCTTGGAAAT